ATTGGTCTTCAATTCTCTCCTCTTGATCCCAGGCTATATATCTTAAAGTACCAATACCAGCAAGTGTACAAAAACCACTGCAGTTACCAGTGAGATGTGGTTATACTGGCATCCCTAGACTCACTGCACCTGTGGCTGGTCTCAGATTTCCTTGAGCTCATGAAAATAAATTGCAAAGCCATCAGAAGATTTGTTTTAAGAATTGCTCCCTACAACCATAGGATTATTTCTTGTATGTAATGTGAGGAAGGACATTGCAACTTATTTGTCTATTTGCACTTTAATAAGAAGCTACAAGGAGGTAGCATAGTTTAAGCTAAACTTGGTAAAATTTGTCCCATTCCTCAGGTGGAGCTAGTCCTGCTGCTTTGAAGCTATCTAAAAAATAACTGACTATGGAAAGCAGTTTGAAATGGGAGTGTTATGAAGATAATTCTGGATAATTCATGTTCTGGCATTTCATTGCCAAAATGTAAGACACAAAAGTTATTTTTTCAGCTAATGGTCTAGCTCAGATAGTTATTACTTGCAGTAAACGTATGGCCAAAGCAGGGACCAAAGTATGAATAATCATAGAATTTGGGTTAGATTCTAGAATATGACTATATGTTATTTGGAGTCCTTTGGTAATTTGCCTTCACCCAAAAGATGGGCCAAGCAGATAGGGAAAAAATCTTGTACAAGTTATTCACGTGCATTACAGCATCACTGTTTATACTCTGATTATATATAACAAACAGCTTTTTTAAAAGTCACCTTAGTACACCAAATAAGACCAAAAAATGAGAAAAAAAATGCCCAGAATTCTTGGTTGGGATCTGATTTTGCTCTGCAACGCTTTCCTAATATCCCTAATTTGTCAATGATTGAAGTAATTGATGTAAAATGTAATTGCCAGTGGAAGGAGGATCTTCATGATCAGAAGTATGAGGGGAGACATTCACATGTGACAGGTTTTCTATTAAAAACAACTCTGAAGCAGTGAATTAAAGTTTCAGTTTCCAAATGCAAGTCCAATTGGCTTATTCTAGCTATCTTGAGAAAAAACAGTAACATGTGTCTTAGCATGTGTTAACAATCAGCCTTCAAGGGACATCCAATATGTTGTCCAATCTTTAGAAGATGCTAGAGCCTGTGCAACGATGCATCTTAATTGGTTTTCTTATCCATTTTAGATAGATTAAGCCAACATAAATATACTAAAAAAATACCTTGATCACATTTTCATTTTGCTGTGCAAGCAGAGCAAAACAGTGGGTGAACAGTGCAAGACCTGTGTGTTTTAGCCGCTACTGCATGTAATTCCCATGTTGGCTTAATACGGTCAGTTGTTTTACACTTCGCTGTAAAGCTGAAGTAATACGGTAAAGAAGAAAAGATTCAGCCTTTCAGTTTGTCTAAACCAGTCAGTTCTTCAGTAGTGTGTTCAACTCTCCTCTTGATCCCATACTTCCTTAAGGGGGAAAAATCCCTGCTAACACCAAGAAAACCTAGGTTCTTACCATCGTTGTTCACATCTATCTTCTGAAATATCATGCTTGTGAACTCTTCAGCAGACATGTTAGTGTGGCCATTAATAGCCTGGATAGCCTGAAGGCAGAAATGCAGAAAGTTCTTTCAGACCTTTTTTTCCCATCGAGTTGTGAAAACAATACACTGGGAACTGCAGTAATTGCAATGCAACTCTTTAGTTCACCAACCCTTGCAAACATCACTAAATAAATAGCTATTTCAAGTAAATCTTCAGTAATGAGGACTGGAAATTTAATTAACATAACAGCCTGAAGATTACAGCTTAATTTACATATCTCTAAAGGTCTTCTGAAACCATGTGGCACCTCTGCTTTGCAATACACTTCAGATTCCACAGCAGCATTTTTATCTGGCCCTAGAGAGTTCTGTGTCTTCAGAGAGTGCCCTATGGTCTGTGTGATTTAAATATAGTATTATTTTTCACAGCTGAAAGCACATGAGGAGAAAGCCTAAGTCATTTTTCTATTAAGACACATTTAACTTAGTAATCACAAATAAGTCAGACCAGCAGTCCAGGAAGTTGGGAGAAAGTACTTGTCCTCCAAAGAAATTAAAAAAACCAGAAGTCTCCCCTCTATTTTTTCTGTCATAAAGGAACCTAATACTTGGATTAAAGGTATATGTGAATATTTTTGCAAAATTTTATCCCATTCACTGAGACAGTAGTTTTTGCATTATGGTGATCACTGGGGTTAATAAAATATGAGCCTATATGTTAACACCCAGTGGTCCAGAAGCAACAAGCATATGTTTACAGAGTTGGACTCAAACTCAATATCACAATTAGTGACTGGGAAAATACAAAGATATATATGCATAAACACACATGCATATATATTCTGTAATGGACATACTATAGAATTTGTTTTTCTACACCTGAATTATGTTGAGACGAACTCTGTTGTGTAAGATAATTCACTATATGTGCCAGTTGTTTCCTTCAGTATTTCCAATATTCTTTTAGAACTCATATATTTTACTAAAATGTAAGTTAAACCTTTTCAGGGCTGCTGTGGAATTCCTGACCATCACTGTCTTTATCTTACTTTGCACAAACAAGTTGAAAAAGACAGCAAGAATTTTACAAAAGTAGGTACATAAACTTGATTGTATTACTAATTCCTACTTCAGATACTTTTGGTGTTCCACATGTCTGACCCTGATGCAGTCTTCAGAAGAAGGTTGTACCTCTGCCACAGTTAAATTTGTGGTAACGCTAAGAGTAAATCAATGGTTCGTGACGTACTTGAATCACTGACTACCACAGAATCACCTTAAATAATAAAAGAGAATAACTGGACTGTAAAAGGCACTGAGAGTGTGCATGGTTGTCTGGAAGGAATTTTGATGGTTGATAATTATCTGCTAGTCCAAAGTTTGCATAGCTGTAGGGACAGGTGAAGTTTTAATAGGACTTCCGTGATTTAAATTAATGTCTCGGATATGACATATCTTTTCGGATAAGTTCTTGTTTACTGATACTTAGTATAAGCAGGGCCCTTAATGGCTGTGAGCCTGTATTTTTATTTTTGTTTAGAGCCCACTGATTTTAATTTAGCCTAGGTCAAATGACTTAGGCAGGTTTAAGTTAAAGTTCTTGTACCCCGAAAGAGAAGAAAACACACAGAGGTTTAAACTGGTTTTAAAACCAAGTAAGTTTAAAAAGAAATCTTCTTTACATTAAAAGGATTTTAATTCTCTTTTTGGATAAAGCCCAAGACAAAGCACAGTCATTTCATTGCCTCTGGGTGAAAAATGATGGAAAATATCTGCAAAAGAAAGATGTCATTAGTCTTAAATGAGGAGAAATCTGGGAGATGCAGCCTGTCCTTCTACCTTTAGAAAGCTGCTCTTTAGAAGGTGACGCATCAACTTTGTTTGTTTGACCCCGTGGCTCCATCTGGCTCCAGTTCCTTTTAATTTGGGCAACAGCTCTTGAAAGTCTCTAACAGTGACTAGCCAGGCACCAGCAGTAATACAGAATCCAGGAAAAAGTACATTCCTTGTTTATTATGACATTAAATTCCTATTTAGATTTTATGCTCCCTGCAGCAAAACCTTGATCTGTAACGAGTCCTGTACATTTAGGGAGCAGTATTAAGCCATTCATACTTGCAAGGAACCATGTGATATCTTTTGGATGAAAGCAGTTACTGAAGTGCAAAATATTATTTCACTAGAGCAAGTTGAAAAATACAGAAATCACTTTAAGGAAAGAATTACACTTCTTTGGTTTTATGGGTTTGAAATGGACCTTCATGGGTTTGAATTTTCTGCAAAATTTTCTACAATATTTGTGTCCAAATGTCACTGCATGATTTAATGATAAAAATTAAATTTCCCCAATTTAGTTTTAAAATAGGGGCAATAGCATTTGTAGTAAACAAATCTAAGAGCCTTTCAAAAAATTAAAATATTGGAATATTTTTATGACATCTATATTGTTTCTTGCAGCAAGTTCAGTTTGAGAAACCAGTTTTCCACAATAGACTGGCACAAACACTTGTAACCAACCGCTTTATTCATTATGCTGCTTCAGTTCTACTCTGCCTTATAGTATAGTTTATTACAATAATGTCTCTACTGTTTCTACAGTTTTTCACTTTCAGTGAAGCCTTATGTCTGTAGAACTGTGATTTAAAGTAAAATACTACTTACATATGTTTACTTCAATAAGCAAGAAACTAATGGCAGGACTGTCACTAGCCAGAACAATTCTGGTTTTACAACTGTAAAACATTAGGTAAAGTACAGACAATCCATTTACAACACATGATGAAACCGCTGTTTCAGGGGCAATGCACTATGTCAAATGCTCTTGCTATTGGTCATAACTTGCTTACCGTGAATATGCTTAATAGTTCTTTTTTGTCAATACATCCGTTTCCATCAGCATCGTATAGCTTAAAATACCATTTCAATTTTTGGTCAATTTTCCCTCGTATAACCAAATTTATTGCAGCTATGAACTCCAAGAAGTCTATAAATCCATCCTAAGAGAGAGAGAGAGAAAAGATCTTTTTAACAGCAATAGTTTTCTGTTCATTCTGGCAATTTCACAGCAACGGGTCATTGATTTCGCTGTAATACCCACTGATTTATAAAGCACCTTAACACAGAAATCTCGTGTGGTGTTTAAAAAGGATGCGCTCAACTGGAAGCACTATAGGAAGGGGCGTTAGCACAGACAGTTTTGTTCTCCCCTGAAAGTTGGGGGCAGTAGGGGTGGGGGGACAAATCTGTTCTGAGCAATTGTTATTGACATTTTTTGAGGAGAAGAGAAACAGTTTTGTGGTAGACTTCCGCATGTAAAAAAGGGGAGTTTGGGATATCTGGTTTGGTACTAATAATATGTCTACAGTGCAGTTGCTTATGTTCATATGGGTACTGCAGAACTACAGATGATTTCCAGTGCAACAGAGCCGCTCCAGGTGTTATTCATCTGAGAGATCACATAGTAAGTGTTGTATGTGGTAACCAATGACCTGTCACGAACTCCAGGTACTGTGTCTTTTCCATATAAACATCAGGTCTCTTTTTGACTAATACATTTTGTATGGGATATAAACCTTCAAGTCATAAACTAGTTTCTAAATAGCAAGGATTGGGAGATATTCATAGG